TCTTAATTATTAAATTAGTAGGGGGGAAAAAGGCTTGTAGTTTTAGATTAGTGAATTAGTTTTCTTTTTTATTTGTTGATTTATTTTTGGTTTGAGCAAAGTTAGTGGTAGTGATTATCTACTACTAGTATATTACAATGAAGATTGGTGATTTTAATTTGTTGATCATTTTTGCGGTTCATTTATTTTTGTGATTAGCAAAATTTGTGTTGGTTTACCATTCCTACAATGTTGGTTTGTGCCCACTCTAAATCTATTTTCTTTTTACTAAATGCAAAATTGGATTATTGATGTTTGCCATGGCTTGCTTGGTCCAAAAGCCAAATTGGTACCCAAGTCCAAGAGCCAGTTTGGCACCAAATCTCTCTCTCTCTCTCTCTCTCTCTCTCTCTCTCTATGTTATTTGTGCCTGGTTTTAATGCCTTATTTAGTCCAATTAATGAGAAAACAAATAATCTTATTTGAGCATATATAAATGAACTATCAACATCATTCACACCTTGAGCCAAAACAAAACCTCAATAGCTGTTACTTGTCCATGGCAAGTTGGGGTCACAAGAGATCAAGGTTGGCCTTGAGGACCCTAAGTCATTAATATGCATAAATAACTTAAACCATATTTTAAAAAATAAAAAATTTCCCTTGATATTTGCCAACAAAGTCTAGCTTAGTGGAAAAGTAGCTTGAGTTGCAGACCAGAGGTTTCACCTTTGAATCATCACGATATCATATTTGTATGTGTGTGTGAGAAAAATCCGTCTCCCATGTAATATAGATTATCGCTTATACTTAAAAGAATTCATTTGATATTTAAACTCAAAATCTTATTTAACAAAGTGAAAACTAAATGTCAATAAATCAAAATGATGACCCATAATTTTATAATATTAAAGATTTCAACATAAACATATTGAGTTGCTATTGATTATTACTTGAAATGAATCCCATACCACACTTTTTTTTAAAAAAAAAATAAAAAATTTTGGTAACATGTGGGAAACATTTTTGTGAGGCAACCGAAGATCACAAAATTGAGAAATTTCGGTGCCATTCCCATTCGAAACTCAACTCATTTATTAAAAGAAGAAAAGGGTCAAAAGTATTGATTGAGGTCGAAATAAACAAGTTCAATGTTATTGACGTTAAAGTTTGTCAGCGTAATGATTGTCGGTGGTTGAGATAGCCTCGACGGTTGACGACGATATTCCGCATGAAAACTTTTTCTGTATTTTAACAGATTAAAAAGACAAAAAAGGGTTTATGAATAAAAATAGTTCTATTTCATTTTCTTTCACATGCTTGTAGAATTATGAGATTCTTTTTTTTTCTTTATTGGCATAAAAAGTAATGGGTTCTCAATATGATGAGTAGGGTTCAATTTACCACCCTTGAAAGAGTTGAATGATTTTGATTGGCTTAAAGATGAGCTCCAATTTTAAAGTAGAATTTTGCAATGAGGCAAAAATGTTGTTGCAACTTGCAAGCTCGCAACACCTCTCTTTGAAAATGGTTTTCTTTAGTCAATTGGGTTTCGAGGTAAAGAAGGAGTCTAAGAGATTTGTATTGTAATCAGTGCTCAAATCAAACCATCAAACATGAACTTGGATTCACCCAACCAAATCACTAGTTCATCAAGTGTCAACGCTGCCTTTTCAATAATTACCCATGTTACACAAAAAAATATGTCATAATTTGCAGGGAGGGAATCTCTGCCTGCCTACTTTGCCATGCTGCTACAGTTCATAAAAAAGGCAAAACATTTGTTAGGACATGATTGTGTGAGACTCGAGAAAATAGAGGTTACAAAAAATCAAGAAATTTCTTAAGATTGCTAGCAATGAAAACAACCAAAAGTGCATTCATACAAGAAAATGGTGTCACCAGACTTATTCACTGCAATGTTATTTTCATAGAAAAGCCAGAAAATGTAGCTTTCAATTCAAGTATAACTTAGAAGACTGTTGCCTGATTCTCTCTACAAACACATCCTTGTTTGCCTGATCTCAACATGGAAGAGGGGAATCCACCCAAGGACATGAAAAATGCTGCAGCAACAGAGACTCAGATAAGCAGTCTTTGAACTGAGGGGTGTCCAATATCGAACTGAAAAATACAACTACATGGCTAGAAGTTGGAACCCATTACGCTTTCTCCTAAGCATGGCCGACTCTGAAATCGACAATCTATAACCAATACTGACATTCTTCTGTCCGTGCAGTTACTCTATGCAGTAGAAGCAGCAACCTCATATCCTTGAACAAACCTTCTCAACTTTTCCATTTCACCAACCGTGGAAAGCCATTCCGTGAGAATCTCCATGGTTATGTAATCAGGATTACAGGCATGTTCAGTCATTTGATCCATAAATTCAAATGCTTTCTCCAATAAATTATTCTCCTTAAGACCTTTGAACAAGGCATTGAATGTCGCGGTATTAGGTCTCACCCCCTTATCTTTCATACTGTCTATCAAAGAAATAGCAAGTTCCACTTCATTCTTCTTGCACAAAGTATCAATTAAAATATTGTAAATTACAGTGTTGGGAGGAACCCTCGATTTAGAACCCATCTCTCTGAAGATTTTCATGGCTTTTTCAGTATTGCCATTCAAGCAATATGCATGAATCAATGCTCCAAAAGTGACAGCAGTAGGAACAAGACCCTCATTTATCATCTTGCTCAATATTCTATGACCGGTTGTAAGTTCCCCAGCTTTGCAGAAATAGGAAATCAAGGTGTTGTATGTTACGCTATCAGGCTTTACTCCAGCTGCCTCCATTTCCTGAACCATCTCATGGACCATATCAAGTTTATTCTTCTTGCAGAACCCATTAATCAAGACATTATAGGAAACGAGATCCAGAGAGAAACAGGCCTCCTTCAACTTTGATACAACAGAGATGGCATCATCCATCCTTCCAGCTTGGCTTAAACCAGAGATCAAGCTGTAGTAAACTATTGCATCTGCGGAGCCTCCATCTCTCAACATTTGCTCAAACAATTCCATTGCCATGCTAATATTATTCACATTGCAAAAGGAAGTGATTAAGGTTGTGTAAGTAACAGCATTGCCTTTCACACCATCCCTTTGCATTTCATTTAAGAAATCAATTGCACTGTTGAGTCTCCCATGGTTGCATAGACAATCAACCATGGTATTCAGAGTTATCACACTTGGCGATATGCCTTCCTCCTTCATTTGGTGAAAGAGCTCACGACCCCTCTCAATGTCCCCGACCTTGTTGAAACCGTCAATCAAACAATTGTAGGTAACAGTATTAGGTGCACAGCCATTCTGCAATCTCATTTTTTCCATCAAAAGTAAACCTTCTTCTTGCCTTCCCACTTTACAAAGTCCATCAATCAGAGTGTTATAAATGACCACATCGGGTTCAGTCGAAACCCCATCACTCTTTTCTCTTCCTCCACTGATCTTTTCAAACAACTCCAAGGCCTCATCTATCCTCCTAGACTTGCACAAAGAATTAATAACAATACCAAAAGTCACAACATCAGGATGAATGTCCATCTCTTTCATCTTTACCATAAGCTCATTCATTCTCTTAAAATCATTACCTCTTGTCAAACATGTCAAAAGCGCATTGCAAGAAGCAGCTTTTACATCACCACCCAACTTCATGACATCATGTAAAACATCCCAAGCCTTATTAGTCTTCCTGTTCCTACACAAGGCAGTGATCAATTTCGTAAGCTTCATGCTATCAGGGAACACACCATGCTCACCAAATTTCAACACCAAACCCACAATGTCCTCCTCACTGAAGCTCCTCCCCGGCCACCCTCTCTTCAATAAATAGGAAAGCACAATATCACCCGTAACCTGGTCGACCCGGCCCTGTGCTTTTGGATCAAACATTTCGTCGAGCACCTTTAGTGCATCATCGACACATCCCGATTTCAACATCACATCAATCGCCGCATTGCGGAGATGGGTGTTTTTCAAACCCGGGTCTAGATCATTAAACACAATGAGCGCCTCATCCACCATGCCAACCATGCCTAAAGATCGAACGAGCAGAGCAGCGGAGCTGATATTAAGCGGGATGTTCCGCTCTTTCGCCATCTTATACAAGTCATAAAGCTTGTTTTGTGAGGTGGGTTCTCGCTTAGCAAGCTCAAGAATGGCCTGGAATGATGACGAGAGCGAATCCGTCGAGTCTGGTGTGCTTGCCACATTTTCCGAAACGTACTCGAAGAACTTGAGGGCCTTGGGGGAAGCGCCAAGGCGGCGAGTGATGTGGAAAAGCGAGCGAGGTGAAGGAGCGGCGGAGTTGGAGAAGAGGAGGTGGTGGAGTTGGTCAAAGTTCCAGTCTTTTTCATTGGGTTGGAGGAGCTCGACCGCTTGGGTTATCAGCAAGTCATCGTCTTTGGGTGATTGGTTGGGCTTAGGGTTGGGTTCGGATTCGGGATCGGGGTCGGTGGAAAGGTGGTGGCTGAGGAGGAAGATGGAGGATTGGGTTTTGGAGGTTTGGGGTTTAAGGAGGTTGAGGAAGGATTTTGAGTGCTTTGAAGCTGAGAGTGATAGAGTGTTCATTTTGTTCGGTAGAGATTTGAATGAAGGGGTTTAGGGTTTACGAACATGGACAAGTAGATTTGGGGGAAGTAGCTTTGTTTCTGGTTTTTCTTTTTATTATTATTTTTTTGAAATTATTTTGTTTTAAATGATTCGAATGTCCATTGCACCAAAATTAAAATTCTAGGTTCTATTCGATTTTTACAAAATTCATCCAACTAGCAAAAGACCCACAAGATGACTTTTTATATATTCCTCTTTTGTTTGTCACATAAAAAAGAATATAAATCGCTCAATTGCTACAAATCCTACCGCATAGGTTAATATTCCCAACTTCCCACCCTTTATTTGTCCAAAGAAATGTGGAAAATGAAAGGCAAACACCTGTATTCTGTACTCAAAAAATAGCAACCAAAAAAAGTTCGGGTACAAAAATTACAGTAGGGTCTACTTTTATGCTCGGATCATGAATAAATATGGAAATGGCTTCAAATATCTTATTTCTGAAGTTGCTTCCAAATTCTGAACACAACTTTCTGCAATAGCAATTTTTCTTTTACAACTCAAAACGGAACCCAACTGCATACTTTTGATACCTCACTGTTACAAAGAGAAAATTGTCCCGCTCTTTCAAAATTCTTCTGTGGCCATTTACTTCGTAATGAAACTTTCAACCAAATATGCTGGGTTTTGCCCATTATCAGTCACTTGCAGGGCTGCCTTCAGTAGGTTATTTGCTTGTACTAATCTTCTCAGCTGCTTCAGCTGCTGCACGTGCTGCCTTGTCCAAACCCAACTTTGTTAACTCACTTAAAAAGCCATTAACTTCAGCAGCACTGATTTTATACGGGCTGTGGGCAGCGCCAGGAAACGACCCGCTGGTCACTTCTTCCTTGTACTCTACTAGAGCTTTATTAATGACTTCTCCAACATGTGCATACTGCTTACAGAATTTTGGGGTAACCTGCAAAAGATCAGGTGCTTCTTTGTTTAAATCAAATTCACATAAGTGGAGAGAAAGAGCTTTATTAAGGAGATGCAACTGCTCAGTTCACCTTGGCATGATGTGGATGTTGCATCATTCCAAGAAGATCATGGTAAACTAGCACCTGCGTGATATAGGGGAAAAGAAAATAAGTATGCCAGAAATAACCAAACCATGTCTCTGAAGAAAAGGATGCAAAAACCTTAGAAAATTAATTAACTTCATGTGCAAGGTACAACTTCAAAGAAGTTAATTAACAGAATGCAATCTCATGAGTCAGCTCAAGCTTTGGCTCTAGGCTCGTTTCAAGCTTCAGCCGAGCTCAAATTTGGTAGTTTTGAGATAACCTACCCAGCTATCTCATCCCTACTAATCTGTTACATCATATGTCAACATACGCCCCAAATGACAGTGTTCAAAAGAGAAAAAAAGTTTTTAGGATCCAAAACAAGGATTTTTCACCTGCAAATACCTAAACCTTCTGAAACAAGCAAAGTTTCAAGTTACAGAAAGATATACACATCAAACAAATTAAAATGATATGCTATTAAACAAACTTTCTCAAGGATGCTAACATCTATTTAACACCAAAAGGAACTACACACGCAAGCATTAAGGCAGACACATACAATACAACCAAGAGGAACAGGACTACATAATTAACTAACCTGCCCACTGCAAAAAGGCCCTGCTCCAATGCCAATGGTAGGAATCTGAAGAGCAGATGTTGCAGCAGCTGCCACTGGTGGAGGTACACATTCTAAAACAACAGAAAAGCACCCAGCTTCTTGCAAAGCCAGTGCTGTCTCCACAACCTGCAGACAAAAATCCAATACAACATCGTTACTACAAATAGAAATTTCAGCACATGCAAACCCATAATAGAAAACAAATTACCGACAAAAGCATTCGTGCGCACACAGACCTTGACAGCACTAGCAACATTCCTTCCCTGAGGCCTAAAGCCCCCAAGAACACTAATGGCCTGAGGAGTAAGTCCCACATGCCCCATTACAGCAATTCCAGCTTCCACGATAGATTTTGCTGCAGTAATTCTAGAAAGTGACCCTCCTTCTAATTTGATCGCATCCATTCCTCCTTCCTTTAAAACCCTCACCGCAGAATCGACAGCCTGCTCATAATGGAAACTGCAACATCACCCACCCATGGCCTACTTATAAAAAAAACAAACCCAATCAACAAAACAGAACACACACTCATTTCTGAAATTCAATACAGCTCTGTTTCTACTTGTTTGCAACGAAATTTGAAAAAAAGTAAGAAAGCTCGTAGCTTCAATAATTTCATCAATTGGGTCATAAATTTCATCATTAAAAACAACAAAAACGAAAAAAATTAGTTAAATTTCCTTCCTTTACTATCAGCCAAATAGAACACCATCTGTCATGCGCAAAAGTCAAACAATGTTCCAATGTCCTTTTCCTTAACATTCTCATAAACAAAACAGATATTTCTCAAAATTAGAAAAAGAAAACAAAAAGCCCATAGACAATGAACCTCCCAAATCAACAGAATTACGGAGGAATTTTCCATTTTATTCGCTACCTACCTGATTGCAGCTAGACTCATAGAAGCCAAAGGGCAAGTCCCCAACCAAAAGCGGTCGCTTGGCGCCACGAGCCACGGCTCGGCAGTGAACAAGCATTTCATCAAGCGTGATAGGAAGGGTGGTGTCATACCCATGAACCACCATGGCGGCCGAGTCGCCGACCAAGCAAATGTCGATGCCGGCGGAGTCCAGGTGGACCGCAGAAGGGTAGTCGTAGGCGGTGACCATGGTGATAGGCTCGCCTTTGTTGTGCTTTTGCTTCAAGTGGGTCAACGTCACTCTCTGGTCTGGGCTCTGCGTCTTTGGGCCGCCGTAGACTGTGTTTTCCGGTATGTTGCTCATGCAACGGAGGATCGGAGAGAAGGCTCGCGACATCGCTTTGGCTCGCGAAACGGCGGCGTAAAATGCCATCTTTAAAGTTGTAGAGAGAGATTGAAGGAGAGATATTGGGGTTTGTTTTGGCTGCGCCACCTATAACTGAGCAAGTGGAAATGAATGAGTGAGAGAAGGTTTTGTTTGTTGAACGACTGAACCAGTCTTCACTTTTGGGACAAATGTTATCTACGTGGTGCCACCTACTGTTGCATTGGCAATGCCACTGAGGATCAAATGGGGCCGAGCGCCGAGGTCCAAGTACACTGAACACAGAATAATCTGGGTCGGGACATTTCAACCCAATATTCCTTCACAGCCCACCAGAAGGTTCCGAAGAAGGACGAAACCAAGCCCAAACTTTTACTTAGGTGATAGAAACTAAGCTTATTTACTGTTGTACCTTATGAAATTATGATCAAATCTTACTGTTGTACCTTATTTACTGTTTTGCATCTTAAAGCATCTCCAAGGGATATGTCAAATACCAAACATCAAATTTAAATTTGATGGCTAATGTGGCAATTTGATATTTACACAATTTTACATTCCACCCGATATGTCAAATAAATAATTATTGTAACAGTCAAATTATTTAAGATAAAGAAGAAAAAAATTAAAAAAAGAAAATAATAAATGAAAGTAACAACCAGCTGTCTTTAAAAACTAATAAAATATTCATTTGACATCTTTCTTTTGAGATGTCAAAAATAACATCTCAACCTCTAGCTTTCATTCCACATCAGCTTTAACACATCGGTTGGACTGATGTGAGATGTTATTTCTAGCTGTTAAATGTCTATGTGGTACTTTTGACACATCGATTGGAGATGCTCTTAATTTATCCTCTACCGTCAAGTTAGTCAAAAACCCTGTTAAAAATACTGACGTGGCACAAATAGGACCAATAATTTTGTTGAACTAGATGTCACGTAGGTTCCATGTGTAAAAAAATTAAAAAGAAAGATTTTCTTTTAAACAAACTTACCTAAACTATTAATAATAATTTTTTTAAAAAAAAAAACCAAGGAATTAAAAAAAGCATCGTCTTCTCCTCACCCCTCCGCCATCTCCAACAGATCTCCTCTCTCACCCCACCCTCTCCCTTCGTACCTAGCCAACCTTTTATTTATATTTATTTTTAGTCGTCTCCCCACACCAAGACAACCTCTCTCTCTAGATCCGACAAGCCCGAAACTCTAGGTTCGTCGAGGACTCAATCGAATCGCCATCCGAGATCCATCAAGGACTCAACCAAACCACAATACCAAATCCAACCCCTGGAGACAAAGGCCACATCACAGTCTTCATCACCAAGCTTTTTTCCCCAAGCAAACCACAAACCCATCCCCGCCGCAAATGTATGTGTTGTTCTTGTTTTCCTTTCCTTTTATTTTTGTTTTGGTGGTGGGTATGGCTTGTGGTGGGTAACGTTTGGGTGGTTATGGATGATGGTGGGTGGTTGGTTGTAGGGGGAAGGATGATGGGGGCATGGCTTGCAGTGGGTTTGGTGGGAAAGTCTTGCGGCTATACTATATATTTATGTTTTTAAAAGACCTGTCTAGCGATTAGGTGTACAAGTGTCAAAATAAGTATAGCCGCGAGATTATACTATTTAAAAAAAAATAAAAATTTAAAAGCAAGTATAACTGGGCAACTATACTATTTTTCTTTTTTCAAAAAGGGCTTTTTTTATTTTTATTTTATTATTTTTTTAAAAAATATATTTTTTATTAAAAAATATGTGAGAATTATTTGTATAATATGTTAATTTTGTGTGTCTTATTGAAAATTTTATTAAAAATATGCGTATTAAATATGAGAAATATGTACATACTTTTTTCAAAAAGGGCTTTTTTTATTTTTATTTTATTATTTTTTTAAAAAATATATTTTTTATTAAAAAATATGTGAGAATTATTTGTATAATATGTTAATTTTGTGTGTCTTATTGAAAATTTTGTTAAAAATATGCGTATTAAATATGAGAAATATGTACATACATGTACAATACAAGTATCGTACGTTTGTTTTTTTAAAAACGTCAATTTTATTGAGTCTTTAAGACCTATACATAACACGGATGTATTATTGAAAAAGATATACATACGTGTATAATATAGTATTAAATGTGAAAGTGCTAAATTCTTTATACGGATAAAAACTCTTGAAAATTAAAAAAATAAAATGAGACAATAGAGACTCAAGTAATGACTAATAGTAATGGATAATACTCTAAATTACCCTTATTGATAAATGAAAATTGGGAAAAAAAATTAAAATAAAAAAAAGATCCAAGTATATATATATAGCGGCTATACTATTTATTAAAAAAAAAAAAAAAAATAAGTAAAGCCGACCGGCTATATGATTTATTTTTTTAAGTCGTCTGGCGGTCAGGCCCCAAGTGTCGAAATCAGTATAGACGAGCGGCTATACGTAATTTAATTAAAGACAATATAGCCGTTCGGCTACACTATTTTTAAGAAAAAATCGCAGAATAGCCGACCGGCTGTACGATTTAAATACATTTAACTGGTATAGCCGCGCGGCTATAACATTTATTTATAATTAAAAAAAGTGGACTTGTTTAGCGGTCAGGTTCCAAGTATAGCCGCTCGGCTATATGATTTTTTGAGAAAATTACGAGAATAATATTGCTGCTCGGGTATACTGTTTAAAAAAAAATTACGATATAAATGCTGATGAATCATTGGTTAAGGTTGTTGAAGAAGTAGCCATAAAGAAGGAATTATTGTGTGTAGCAGTAGCAGACAATTCAGTGGGATCAAAATCAACCAATGGACTGGAAGAAGATACAACAGGTATGGAAGAAACCGATGAAGAAGTCTCTGAACTTGTAGAAACACATGGTGAGCATAGAGGCTTGGACTTGCATGAGGGAAACACCGTTTCATCAAACAAAACATGTCTAGAAAGAATCAATTTTCTGGTGATTGAATCAAAGCAAATGATCCCTTGTATTGAGAAGCAAATCCAAGTAAAATACATAGTGTTGTTTTTACAAGGTGTCGCCAAGCCATTTTGTTCAGGCGTATAAGGGCAAGATTTATGATGAATAATACCTTTGGATGACAAGAATTGCTGCAAAGATGCAGAGATATATTCCCCTCCCCCATCACTTTGCAAAACCTTAATGGAAGCGCCAAACTGATTCAAGACAATAGCATAAAAGTGCACAAAAGTGGAACAAACTTCTGATTTATTTCGTAGGGGAAATATCCATGTGTAACCAGTACATTCATCAATAAAGGTGATGTAATATCTAAATCCTTCAAGAGAAATGCAAGGAGCTGGTCCCCAAAGATCACTAAGAACAACCTCAAATGGTGTTGCTGACTTTGAAGACACCAAAGAAAAAGGAAGCTTAGTAAATTTGCCTTTTAAACAGGACTGACAAACAACAGAATCAGTAGAACTAGTTGAGGATAAACCAGACTTCTCCAAGGCAAGTTGAACCATGGAACTGGTGTAGTGCCCCAAGGGACAGTGCCACAAAGTGGAAGTTACTTTTTGTCCAAGAAATGCAGTAGCTGAAGAAACAGAGGAAGATGAGGAAGGAGAAAGGGAGAATGGTAGTGGATACAAGCCATTGTTGCTCAAGCCTCAGAAAAATACCCTCCCTGTGATTTTGTCATGTACACATAAAGATAGCTCATCAAATATGTATCGACAATGATTCTCTTTGTATAATTGTATTAAGCTGGAAAGTATGATTAGAGGACCTATAATTTATTGTTGTGCCCCCTGAAACTATGATTAAATCTCACTTTATCCTATGAAAGTTACAGTGGCCAACTTTGCCCTCTTAATCGATGTTTTGCATCTCAATTTACCCCTCACCATCAAGTCAGTCAAAAATTATGTTAAAAATACACCCATAATTTTGTTGAATTAGATGCCACATAGGTGCCATGTGTAAAAAAAATAAAAATAAAGATTTTCTTTTAAAAAACTTAACTCAACTATTAATAATAAAATACAAAAAATACAAAATACAAATAAGGCTTATTATCACAAAACATCCATAAGGTTTACGAAACTATCAGATTGCATCCTTAATGTTTTTTTGTGCCACTCATGGTCCTCAAGGTTAGTATGTGTAATCACAAATGGTCCCTACCGTTAGATTCTGTTAAAAACTCTGTTAGTTTGCTGACGTGGCATACATATATATTACAAAACATCCCTGAGGTTCACACACCTATCACAAATGGTCCCTACGAATTTTTTTTAAAATTTTTAATTTAAAATTCATTAAATGTTGGTTTTTTTTAAAAAAATTATTTATAAATGAAAAAACCATTTATAGAAGGATTTTAATCTTGAGGACCATTTATGAACCTTAAACCCTTAGTTTTTTCATTTTTAAATTTTATGAATTTTAAATTAATCTTTTAAAATAGTTTGTTGATGTTGCATATGTATGGAGTCCACATCTACAATAATATAATGCCGCGTGTATTTAAAATATAATATATATATTTTAAAATAATTTAAAATTCATAAAATTTTAAAAACAAAACAAAAATGTTATGCATTTTAAATTTTAAATTTTTTAAAATTTCTTAAGGACCATTTGTGATAGGTGCGTGAACCTCAAGGATGTTTTGTGATATACATATATGTCACGTCAGCAAACTAACGGAGTTTTTGACATAACCTAATGGCAGGGACCATTTGTGATCATGTATACTAACATTGAGGACCACGAATGGCAAAAAAAAAAAATTAAGGATGCAATCTGATAGTTTCGTAAACCTTAGGGATGTTTTGTGATAATAAGTCAATAATTAATAAAAGCATCGTCTTCTCCACACCCCTCCGCCATCGCCAATAGATATCCTCCCTCACCCCACCCTCTCCCTTCGTACCTAGCCAACCTTTTATTTATATTTATTTTTAGTCTTCTCCCCACCCCAAGACAACTCTCTCTCTCTCTCTCTCTCTCTCTCTCTCTCTCTCTCTCTCTCTATTTGACGAGCCCGAAACTCCAGGTTCGTCAAGGACTTAACCTAATCGCCATCCCAGATCCGTCGCAGACTCAACCAAACCCATCCCCGCTGCAAATGTATGCGTTGTTCTTGTTTTCCTTTCCTTTTATTTTATTTTTTTATGATGGGTATGGCTTGTGGT